TACCACCAATCACCAAATCATTGAAGGCGCAGAAGTCTGAGAAGAGTTCACCATTGTCGTTCATTTCACCGAGGGCCTCACGACCCATGGTGAGTTCTCTTCCTGTGTTGTCTCCTCCCAGCTTCGCATTCATGTCGCCCATCAGGATTTTGATATCGCCATTTGGGACGTTGTCCATTATTGCTTGTAGTTGTCTGTAGAACGCCTCCTTCTTCTCTTGTTCTGAGACGTTTGTAGGCGCATAGCATTGAATGACTGTAACTTTCCTTCCTTTTGAGTTGAACCTGGCTGTCATTATCCTGGAGGAGATTGGTTCCCACTGCATGAGAGCTTTGGCTGCTGTTGGTGACATCATGATGGCCACTCCCTCGGTGTGCTCGTGGTTGTCCTCTGGGTGGCCGGAAGAGATTACTGTCTCTCCAGTTGGTAGTTGGCACCTTCCAGTTCCGTTCCATCTGCTTTCGCAGATTCCCAACACTTCTATTCTGTACCTTCTCATTTCAGCGGCTATCTGGGCAGCCTTTCCAGTTTCGTACATTGTACGAACATTCCAGGTACCCATCCTTACTTTTGCTTTCATCGAAAGAAGGCACATCGGCTGACTGGCTTCCCGAAGGCTTTCACTAGCCTGCATCATTTTACTTCCCCGATTCCAGCGAGGTTTAGGGTTATTGTTTATATTTTTAGAATTTTGAATATATTGGTGCATTGAAGTTTTTGTAGCGGTTTGTTTGAGTTTTGGGGTTGGAGTTGCTAGCACCACGCCCCAACCCTCCCTCTTTATCCGGGCTTGGGACCGGCTGAAAAACTAGCAATCTAGTAATCCAGGCGAGGTTTCCGGGATATATTGGCGTTGTGTTTCTCCATTCCGGCTGCACACGTGCGGTGTTGAGTCGACGATAAACAAAGCTTCAGTGACTAACCTCTCCGTCTCTCTCTCCGCCTGACTGTATTACTTTTTAATACTCACACCCTGTCCTACCAGAATTTATTCAGAAATAAATGCAAAAAACCATAGAAAAACTGAGGCTAGCAATTAAAGTAACGGAAAAAACGAAAATAATATAGAATTCAAAGCCTTTGAGGTACTTCCGTATAGAGAAGGAATATAAGTGACTTTGAATAGAATTCTCAGTGAGGCATTTAAACCAACCAACCAACCAACCAACCAACCAACTGTCTCAGAGATAAACTTTGTCGGTTTAAGGACCCAATAGATCCTCTTAGGAAAAATAATATAATATACCAAATACCATGTAATGACTGTTAGTGAGGTCAGTTACATATGCCAGTCAGACTAGTAGATTGAGGTCAAGTAGATTATTGGAATATAAAAATTTGGCTAGACACCTAGAATGATTGACTCTGCTAAGTTAACTAACCTAGCCATTGCACTGCATTCACTTGCATGTAATCACAAAATAAGGTGAGTGGGACAGGATGAGAGTATTAAAAAGAGTATTCAAAAAATGATGTTGAGAAATTCTTCTCTCTCACACACACATAAACAATCATGTCGACTGAATAAAATTCACTACGGAAATAGAGAGTGAAATTGGGGAACTGCCTTTGTTAGACTACAAAATACACAAAGAGTAACAGATGGCAGGTAGCATAAAATTGACGCTGCATTAACAAAAACTACACACTCTAGAAAATTCCTTGATTATCACTCAGCTCATCTACTCACGGTAAAACGAGGATTGATACAACGTCTTGTAAGATAGAATACGTAGACTTACAACAACACCAGAGGACTAGCGTAAAGAAATAAATTTCCTATTCAAAATGTTGCTCGACAACAATTATCCAACAGAATTTATCAAAGATAATATAAAAAAAAGAAAAAAGAGAGGGTAAAACCAGAGAATGACAAGATGGAGAAATGCAAAAAAGAACAGTCACAATACCATACAAAAATGATACGTCAGAGGCAAATCGAAGAAACCTCAAAAATATTGGGATTTACCATTGCTGGAGTGTAATTCGAATGGAAAGTGACGAGTGGGTCGTCTGTTCCAGGGTGACATGAAGGAGATCGTGTGTTAGGTAGGAGGGGGAGATGAGAGATTATCGGTAATCCTGGGTGCAGACAGCTGAAGAGGACAAGGGAAAATAGGTCAAAGTGTAGATGCCTTGCTGAAGCCGTGTGTTCCATTCAGAACCCAAAGGAATAATAAATAGTAAGAACTGAGATATACCTACAAATATAATTCGAAATAATTCTTATAGTGTATTTGAATACTTCACATCAAAGCTAAGATGGCTGGTTTTGCCTAGATATTTGTAGCATGCACCATCTTACAAAGGTCTTACCTGATTGGTTGGTTATTCAATACATTATACGTGGGTGTATCACGAAATTGATTGGCTAACGGCTTTTCTCTGAATTTCTCTCTGATTAATACTCATTTTTACATCATTCAAATTTCTGGAAAACACTTAGATTTCATTAGGGTAAACAAAGTCTAATTGTTCAACACTGCTATTAGAGATTTAATAAGTTTTTCGATAACTTCATCATCAGGCTTTACAGTTATATATATACATTATAGTGAATGAATGAATTAGTGTTATGAACAACATCAATGTTGTTTAAATAACATCGAATCAATAATATTAATAGATTACAGCTAAAATAGCATCAACATAAAATAAGCTGAATGTCAGTTGAATTAGGAAAGATAATATTACAAATTCATGAATTTACAGTCTCTACAGAAGGCCTACCAGAACAGGGTCACGAACACTGGTTGTTTGGAGCGAATCGCAATAGCCTCTGCTGTTTGGAGCCTGTGGTGTTTCGATGATTTTGCCAATTTATTAGGCACCCGGTAGATGATAGAGAGGGATTCTTCCACGTTGGCTGGCTTTGTGGCCGGCCGGTTTGCACCAGATGGTCCAATATCGAACTGTAAATGATTTTCACTACACTTTTACTTAGCCATAGTGGGAGATGTTCTCGAGTGATCATGAGAAATCAAGTTCCTAGAGCAACGGCCAATATAGCTCGCTGCACGAGCGCAGTTTACTTGGTAGATACAATTTGAAGTGGCTAGTCTAGTCTAGCTACTTCATCTTTCAATCGAGGAATCACCATCGGTCGTAATTACTTCATTTGGTATATCGCTTTTGAATTGCAGTCGTATATAAAGTGGCTTATTGTTTACAGATAGTGAGTAGTCCTTTTCCGCCTTCTTTTGTCATGTGTTTCTTGATAAATTTTTCAGGATAGCTATTTTCAATCAAAGTATCATATACAATGCTTAATTCATCTTCAATTACTTCTTCTGAGCATGTAGGTGTAACTCTGTAGCTGAGGCACTTTGAACCTGAAAGGAACGAAGCTGTGAAAATGTGTACATTGTTCTGTCCAAGTACTTTTTCTATGCAAATTTCCTTTTATGATACCATCTGGTTTTCTTGTAAGGAGGATATCCAGGAAGACTATTAATTCTGTTTTACGATTTCTCTTCGCATGTGAATTTCATAACAGAATGTACTTCATTGAATTCAGTAATTATTGTACACCTATCCGAATCATTATCCCAAAGAATGAAGGTGTCATCCATATGAGGGCTTTTTGATGTGGTTGTGTTCCCTGAGCTAGCTGGATGGGGGTTTATTTGCGAAGCTTTCATTGACCTGAAACTAGGGAACATCTTCAGCGCATACTTCAATTTACTGAAGTGAGCTTTTAGATTACTCCACGAGTTTATTAGTCATCTCTTCTACTGGGTGACCTTGAACGTCGAGATTCGTTGTTTTTGTGTGTCTTTACACCCTATAGGCAGCTATTTGCATTGGAACTGATTGTTTATTTGACTTGAACTTTGACCCTTTGTGTGTGAAGTTTCCTTCATATCGGTTGATAAATTTTGTCCATCTTGATGTGACTATTGATTGATTGATGATTCACTGGAATGCCAGGCAGGCTTCTAAAAATTCCCAAGCATTCTTGTTGTTTCCTCTGTCTAATCTTTGAGCGTTGTCCCAGTCAAATTGATGTCTGTGGTTGTCTGTGTGCAGTGAAATGATAGAAGGGAGTGGATATCATGTCTTTTGACGGCCAGCTTATGTTCGTGGATACGAAGACGAAAGAGACGTCCAGATTGGTCAATGTGGTGTTTTTCTCAGTTGTTCCAATTTATTTTGTAGATGATGTTTGTTTTATCTTCTTTCGTTGTTGAGTCTTTTTGTTGACATAGAACTGAGTGAAGTGACTTTGTTGGTTTGTGTACGACGTCAATTCCCAAAGGTTTATGTATGTTAAGGTGATTTTATTTGTGTTTTTGGTTTGATAGGTTGGCTTGGGGGTATATGCCTCTTGATGGAATTCCGTGGATATCCATTCTGACGAGAATTTTCAGAAGTTTGGCATTCCAGTGAATCATCAATCAATAAAGACATCGAGATTGATGAAATTTATCAACCGGTAAGAAAGAAACCTCTCACACACACACAAAGGGTCAAAGTTCAAGTCAAAGAAACAATCAGTTCCAATACAAATAGCTGCCTATAGGGTGTGAAGACACACAAAAACAATCAAAGAGTCACGTTCAAGGTCACCCAGTAGAAGAGATGACTAATAAACTCGTGGAGAAATCTAGAAGTTCACTTCAGTAAATTGAAGTATGCGCTGAAGATGTTGCCTGGTGTTGGAGCAATGAAAGCTTTGCAAATAAACCCCCATCCAGCTAGCTCAGAGAACACAACCACATCGAAATCATCCACCTGAGCTACAAATCTTTTCTGTCATATGTAAACGAGAGCTTACTGATAAGGTTGTTCAGAAAAGCTTCAGAAACGTTGATTAAATAACACCAGTGATTTTTAGAATGAGGACAAGAGTACATTGGATTGTTTTGTTTCTAACATCAATTGCCTCATTTTCTGGCAGACTTTTTGTAATTATTTAACTGTTCATAAACAGAAATCTTTTCCCTATATATAAAAATAATAATCTTAAACGAAACGAATTTTAATTTGTTTTTTTTCAGTGATGTTGTCAAGTCTCTAATGTTGATTAAAGTGAAAAATGCCTTCGATGCACTAATTGGTAAACCAATGGAGAAAAGTGCAGTTAGTGATGCCAAAAAACTATTTGAGAAAACTGTTTACTGACAGAAATGTCACCATGGAAACAATATTTGCAAACGATTTAAACAAAAACTGTGTTTCTTATGATTACCTAATTGAAATCTTGTGATAATAATAATAAAATTTTGTCATCAAATAGATGTTGTTTCCACTTGCCAATGACCGGGAAAAATTGACGAACAAGCGAAAAGTGTGGAAAAAAGAATATGCAATTTAAAGTCCCATCCGTTTTTCATCAGGATATGTATATCCACGTATTGGTTTGTAGGGATTTGATTGATTGGTTACAGGAATTCTTCATGAACTGACATCAGTCAGAGAACCATTGGATAACCGACTGTTTCGTCAGCCCAGTCTTGGACTCTTCAGAAGTATGCACCCACCTCACTGCCAAGGTTTGAACCGGGCATCTTCTGGTTGCAAGGCAAGCGAGATCGTAGACCATAAAGTCACTGGGGCCCATCAATTCAATGGTCAGCCTTTCGATTCCAACTTCTGCCAATTTAAGTCAGTGAGCGACCACTAGCCGATATCTTCGGCGAGGATTTGTCCTCATGTCCGACCTACTGTACCCTACTTGTCCTGTAACAATATGTATATTTAGTTGACAGAACCTTAATACTACATGTAAATTTTTAAAGGTTACTTAAACAGTTAGTGTGTCAATGATTAGTATTCACAGGATTTCATCATGAACTGACATCGGCTGGAGGACTATTGGAAGAGTTCCAAACTAGGCTGGTGAAACAGCTGTTTGTCCAGTACTCCAAGATTTTTCAATGGTCCTCTAACTGGTGTTAGTTTATGATGAAATCCTGAAACCAATCAAATCCCTTTAAACCAACATTTGAATATCAATCTGATGTTCATTAGCGACCACTGGCCTATTCATGTAGGTATTGACCTGGGTTCTAGTGAGAGGTCATGACCAACCAGCGGGGTTCATCCTGTCGGGTGTGAAGACAAACTCTCATAAGCGATGACAGTGGCTGGTGCCAGTTGTGCCATATCATGAAATGGTAGAAGTTGGAATTCATAGACCATTGAATCGGGTCCCAGTGGTTTAATGGTCTACGAGCTGGCTCGCTTTATAACCAGGAGGTCCTAAGTTCGAACCTCAGGGGGTACATATCACTGAAGAGTCCCAAACTAGGCTGACAAAACAGCTGGTTGTCCAGTACCTGAGTGTTGATTTTCCAATGGTTCTCTAACCGATATCAGCTCATGATGAAATCCTGTAACCAGTCAATCAAATCCCCGCACACCAACACTTGAAGATCAGTAGTATTGCACGAAAATGAGAAAAAAGTACAATTTAAGGAGGTCAAAGTAAAGACATTGTACTGCTGATGATATGCAGGCAGGCAGGCAGACAGGCAGGCAGACAGACAGGCAGGCAGGCAGGCAGGCGAGACAACGGATATCTGATGGGAAGCGGCTAAAAATATTAATCATCTTATGTTCGATTGACTGTATAATTTCATCACCTTTTCCTTACCTTGGTCCTGAACCAATCACCAACCAGTCAGAATATTTATTTTCCATGGTCCTAACCGAATCGCCTACCAATCACAGAACAATCTTGTTTCCACTGCCCAAGCCAAATTTTAATGTGGTTAAGAACATATAAATATGCTATATGCTTTTTTCCTAATAAAGTTGTACCGTAACAGTCACACGCCAGTTCTAGTCTTTTGATGTTTATGTGGGTCAATAAAATGGAAGGTGGTACTAAGGATGAATAGATATATGTAGAGGCCGACATCTTCCTTGTGAAACTAGAGAATAAATGGGCCTTTGAAAAAGACGGTACAATGACAGGAAGAAGTGCATATAGAAAACCTACATCAACTGACTGTCAGTATACTCATTTCTACAGCTTCGTGCCCTTGAAATACAAACGCAATCTGATAAAGTGCTTAGTCCGCCAGAGAGCAAGAGAGTAATCTGTTCGGATGAATGTCTTGATGAGGAACTTAATAAAAATTAAACAGTTTGTTGAGTGGAAATGACTATCCAGAAAAGTTTATTGATAAGAATATGAATCTAAAATCAAAGCAGCCCAAGGCACCAACAGTTTGTAAAAAGGAAGACATTATTCTTACAAATTCAGTTCCTCGTGGATAACATCAGTGAGGTATTAACACAACATCCTAGGAATGTGGTAAAAAGAGCATTACGCGCTGTTGAATTACGCTGTGTCTTCAAAATCACCCTTATTTTGCGTTCGGAAGTAAAAAATAAACTGTCTTATTTCGCCTCTTCTATGTGTATTTACCAATTTAACTGCTCTTATGGAGCTACTTACATAGGCTTTGCAATTGGGCACTTTTCCCGTCGGATTTCTGAACATAACCCTGCGTGGGTGGTTAAGTAAAGGATAAAGAAAATCCTTGTGGATACAGAACACAAGACAGATGTCAACGAGGTTGCTTTCAAATTGATTTACCGCATACAACCAAGTCTTAATTTCGCCTTAAGAGTTCGTTTACTAGACATCGCTAAGGCCATTGGGATCCACATTAATAAGTCTAATTTATGTGTCCAAAAGAAGGACCTAGTTCAGACATTGTCCTTACCTTGGCCGTCTAGGTTCTAATGGCCCCAAATTTTTGTAGAAATCTCCTTAAATCTTTTGACATTCTATTCGCTATTATATCTTTATTATTTATTATTATTCCATTGGTCTTACTTAACAAATTGATATTATTTAAAAAACACAAATGTTGTTATTGACTACTATTCTAGAATGTTCTATGTATATAAACATATATGTATATATAATTATAGAGCCAGAAGAGGAAATTATCGAAAAGTATATTCATTGCTCACTTATTTCGTTTTTTTAATAAATGTCTAAATGCAAATTTTTCGCTATGTGTGTAGGTGCATCAATTGATTTTTCCATTGCGTCATCAGTGTTATTATTACCCATGTATAAGTACACTCGTTCATATCAGCTGTCGACGAGATTATGTCACTTGACAACAGCTCATAACGATATCCTCTAAAAATTGACTGATAAATACAAGGGGATACCAAAAATAAAATCAATATTTGATACAGTACAAAAGAAATCAGTCTGCCTTAACCTTGGATTCAGTGGTGGTTACATATGTGAAAGAATTTTTAATATCCAACTGCCAGACTGCATACACTCACAAGGTGTGCTATATAGATGGCACTGAAATAGAAACCAAGTCTGAAATTAAATACCTAGGCGTCATTCTATCTGCTAATCTTCCCTGGTCGTCTGATATCTTGATGATTTCTAAGAAAATATTCCGTCTTACCTTCTTCATCAAGAAGTTAAGACATTCTGGTTTAAGCCAACTCAACCCCTACTCCTACAATTCGTTAACTCTTACCTTCTGCCTATTATTCGCTATTGTTCCCCCTTAGTTTTTCCAGGGCTACTGAAAGAAGACTATACCTTATTACGCAGGATGTTAAAGGTTGTCAGCAGGGTAGGGTGAGCTACGTGCCACTTAACCAACTAGCTTGTTAATATTCTGGTCGACAGGCACATTGACTCATGTGAAAAATGGGCTAAATCCATTCTACCTAAATCACACCACCCTCTTCATTCACAACTCTCCCCCCTTGTATCTCATCAGGCGGAATCAGAAGTCTATATAGAAAACTATATGCTCGCACTAGGAAGTACAAAAACTCAACCATACCCTACTTAGCTCGTGTTCTCTCCGATGAGGAAAGCATTAGGCGTGATACCTACAACTTATTAAATAGTCAGTAGAACAACTGGATCTCGTCTTTCCAACTCATATCATTTATAGGTACAACATTTTCCTTTCTTTCCTTTCCTTTTCTCTCCCTGTCTCTTTTCTCTGTTATGTGCTGCTTTGTTTCTTTCTTCTGTTTACGCCAGTAAATATGCTACCATCTACTTTCCTAACACCTTCAAACACTCTGTTCAATTTTGGCTTTTCTACCGACATGCCAATATGTTGCTGTCATAATGAACTGAGATTACCCTTAATCTATGTAGAATTTTATTTTATTGTTAATGTACTAACTGGATGCAATACTGTTGTGCAATGCTGAGAATTCCATTCTGTATCACAAGTACTGTTTTGGAATAAAGCAAATTATTATTATTAAAAATTCACCGGATAAAATACTCATTAAGATAATTTAATTTTAACAAGACACAACTCTCCCTCCACCCCGACGTTTCATGTTGCTTCCGACTGCATATACAAATTTACAATGTACCTGCTGAAGTACATATATTGAATGAACAGAAAGGCAGATTTTTACCGACTGCATATCTGAGCATATTCTAAGAAACTTGCATCTTAAAGGTGCCAAAGTTCACAGTAGTGCTTATCACTTGTTAGATATTTGTTATGAAATCGATGTACTAAAATCCTTTAAGGTAAAGTTTAGGTCACTTCCTGGTTGGTACGTTTGTTTCATTGAAGGGACTGCCACAAAAACGACTGAAATCGAATTTATCCATCCCAGAGGAAATCGTTGTTAAGTTTCCTCTACTTCTTTGGTAAATTTATTTTAAGTTGTTTTAAAAACAATTGGTCCCATTTTCTTTTATAAATTTAGAGGGTGTTATCAGAAGGCGTAATTTGTTTGAATCGTGCGTGTAATGCTGTATTTGCCAAACACATTTCGAACAGTCTGATCACACACACGGACTTGTCATAGGAATGTGTATATATGAAATTAATAAAGAGTTAAGAGGTGAGAAATAGAAATAGACTTAGGTCAAGTGGAAAGGTCATATTAAAGGTGAAAGTAACAATGAAGATCACTAAATAAAAGAAGGAAGGTAATAAAGTACATCTACCCTGGCTGGCTGGCATCAAACAAAGTTTACTAAAGAAGGTGGTTTAGTGTGGTGATGAAGAATTGTTACTTTGAACGCATAAAGGTGGTTTAAACTTTAATTGCCGCCTAGGGCTTCTTTGCACAGACTTTAGGATACGCCCTACCTCAAATACCTTCTATAGATAAGTTTAAAAGACGTGTAAACATCGATTTCATGT